CGTACATTGTGAATATGGTTGTGATAAACTGGCTCCCTACATAAACATAACATATCTGCTTCTGGAAAATCTCTCAACCTGCCAGCCACATTCACTTCTTAGATCCTGATCCTGCCCAGTATGCACATTCCAGTTCAGCCCATTGGGAACATAAGTTTTTTCCCCCTTGTGATAGGATTTCCCTCCTGTGTAAAATATCTTTTGTTTGCTGCCTGTAAGTAACAAGCATGTAGCTGTTCTATTGTTAATATTTGGTGGAATTGATTTTATATTATTTAACAGTTACAGACATAGTTGCTCTATGTTTTAGTTTCATTATTTGTATATCTATTCTGCAGATTGTTTTAGTGGTCTTATTCAAAAGAGATACTGGAAAGGGTCATTACCTTGGATCCACTGTTATTGTTTCATCCGTTCGAGTGAAACTGAAGAATCGATATTATGTGTAAGTCTATCCTTGTTGGTTATTTCTCAGTAAATGATAAATTTTCCATTTGATCGTACCATAGGTCCATACTGCACAACAGTATTGACAGTTTCCATATGCTCATATCTGTGTTACGAGGTGTCTGCATTATTTTTGACAGCTCTTCCCCTCTTTGCAGGAAGCACAAAATAAACTGAATGCCAAGATAGCAGAACCAATATTCCATAGGGTTCGTGATGTTGCACCTAACAAGGTAGATTATCTAGTAAAAGATTCATACTAGTTGTCTGCAAAATTTTGTGTGTGCTTTGTTTTGTTTTGTTGATCTTAGCACATGCATTTCCCCCTCTTTTCCCCTTTCTCCGAATTTGAGCACAGGGTAAGACCCAGACCAAAACTGCTCATGAGGAATGGTCTTTAAACAGTACTATGATATATTTCTGTGATGAATGGAATACATGGATAGGAGGAGATGATGAGCTTTATTTAGACATGAAGCATGGATAGATTGTTCCAAAATCATCTGTGCGACTTTATCTTTTTGGCCACCAGTACTAGTTTTGCCACTTTACGTTGATTATGGACACATGGTAAACCTTGCCTGTACTTTTTGTGATGTTCGATTTTTGTTGCAGGCTATGTTTTGCTTAAGTTTTAGGTTACCCGTGGAATGTCTCAAGGAGGAAACTGAAGATCACATTTGATCAGTTGACGGTTAGTCTTCTTCCATGCGTTGCTTCTGAAGCTACGGCTGTTTCCTGGTACTTCCAAGAGGTTTTCTGAAGAAATGTCTATCTTCCTAGCAATCTTCGAGCTATGCGGTGCAGTCTGAACTGAATCACCATTCCATGATGAAGGGGAATTAATAGGATGTTTTGTCAGATTTAACCTGGGAGGTTTCTTGTTCGGGGCTGAAATTTAGCACTGACTTGAGTTCTGCTTACATGAGCAAACAGTGAAGTGTTCGTTAGGTGGTTTTGTAAGGCTTCACGTAAGTACACAGAGAGAGATTGGTTTGCTGTTTCCAGATTTTTTACCATGTGATTGAATCGTGATGAAATCCGAAATATTAGCAGTTCGAACATTATCTGTTTCATATCTTCAATGTTGGTCACGCAAGCAATACAATGGCAACGCTGCCTGCAAAAAAGAATAAAAAATAGAAATGCAATTTTATGCGAGGCTGTGTCTTGTTTGGGTAACTACGTCAGTTTATTTTTTGTTAGCTAAACCACGGCAGTTCAAACTGCCTGGAGCATTAAAAGATACCAACACCCCTCAAGTTAACAGTCCGGCTTAGGGCCCCTTTTTTTGAACATAAAGATTTCATTAACTTAGGAGCATTTTACAGAGACAAGCGTGAAAGGAAGCACGCTGGATACAGAGAGGGAATCCCTAGTTGAACAAAGTCCTGCATGAAGACATAAGCAACGAAACAGTACATGGCTGTTTTGAACTTTCAAAGCTAGGCGTGCAAGATGATGCGCCTTGACATTGTTTCCCCTGCTAATGTGAGCAACTTTGCCACTCTGAAAAGAAGGACTGTTTTGTATCTGTGCAAGCAGTGGTCTGTTGTCCCATGGACCTGGAGCAGAGAGAATGTCCGTCGATTTTACTGCCGAAACTAGCACTGAACAATCCGTAAAGAAATGTGGTTCCTAAACATTGAGTATTTCCACCAGCCTGGTTGCAAGCATGAGACCAAAAGTCTCAGCTTGAAGAGGAGAAGAAGCCATAGGAGACATAGCTGCAATGTGAAGTTGATGGGTTCGATCATTATTCTGAACCTGAATGAAGACTCCAATTCTTGCCTGTTTAGGAGTGTGAGCTGGATGTATTTCCCACGCAGCATCACAAAAGATTGTGTTGCCTGAAAAAGAGCGTGGATTTTGTATTGTCGGCTGCACCAGTTGGTCCTATAAGCAATGCATAGCATGAGCTTCAGCAGGGATTTCTCCTAATTTGGTTCCTTGTATGATTGTGTTTGCTGCTGCATACACCTGAAAGGGCCTGCAAAATTTCCTAGCAAAGAGAGCATCATTTCGAGATTTCAACAGGCACCACAGAAAAGTATACAAGCTAGAAGGATTAATTTGTGGATGGCCAGAGTTAAGCAAAGTTCGGATCATGATAGGAATACAATGGTTAACAGCAGCAAGGATTTCCGTTTTAATAAACCAAGGTGAGCAAAACCAGGCTGCCTTAGAGAAAGGGCAAAGAAAAAACATGTGCATTTCATCCTCTGTCTTGCCACACCTGGAGCAGTTTTCATTTATGTGTTTAGAGAATTTACTTGCTCTCTTACCTGTAGGAAGCGCTCTCCTAAGAAGTCTCCAAGCAAATGTCGCGGCGCCATGAGTTTGTCCTGCCAAACTTGATTAAGAAGAGCAACGATCTGAGGATGAACCTCTTTCGGTCGCTGTCTAGCTGGTAGGTCAAGGTTGTTGAAGCAATGCTTATATGCACTCTTGGAGGAGAAATTTCCTGCAGGTGTTAGTTTCCAAATCAAGGCATCTTGTCCAGCAGCAACAACTATAGGATCTGAAGAATATCATTAGCTATCTTAGGAGAGAACAAAGAATTAATTAGATCCGCATTTCAAGCTTTTTGATTTGGCAACCAAAGATCTCTAACAATAGCAGGATAGACAAAAGATTGCTCTTGTATAATTAGATGATCATAAATTCCTTTCCATCTCGAAAACCAAGGAGAACTCCACACAGAACTATTACCATCTATAATCTGATAGGTAGAGGCTGAAATTAAGAGAGGCTTCACCTTTAGTATTACAGCCTAGAAAGCTGATTTTGGCTTGTTTGCTTTGACTCTCCAAATGGACGTTTCATGGTGATACTTAGCCTTGAGGACCAAAGCCATCTGGCTATGTGGTTCTTTTGCCAACCTCCATGCCGTTGAAAGAATAAGTCCTTGGTTGATTGCCTGCAAGTTCCTGATGTCTAAGCCGCCAATTTTCTTCTCAACGCAAATGTCTGCCCATGCCCTTAGGCACAAGCTTTTTGTAGTAGGTTCATCTCTTACACCTGTCCACCAAAAGTTTTTTATAATCGCAGTGAGCTTTCCTAGGAACTTCTTAGGAAAAAGAATATTAGACATATAATACACAGGTATGGAGGCAAAAACAGATTTAATAAGAGTGAGTCTTGCAACATGGGAGAGTCTGTTCGCCTTGTAAGCTGAAAGTTTGGATTTGAATTTATCATAAACAAAGTTGTAGGCTGCAGATCTCTCTTTTGCAGGCAGGATGAGTGGATGACCAAGATGAATGATGTTGGCATCCAAGTCTGGCACCTGAAAAAATTGCTTGAGATCTTGTTTAGCCTGCAAAGACACATTTTTTTACTAAAAAGAATGGCAGATTTGTTTCAATTGAGGAGCTGACCCGAATGCTAACAAAACTGATGTAAAATATTGGAGATAGTAGATGCCTCATGTACATTAGCTTTTCCACAAGCCAACAAATCATCAGCAAATATTAAAGAGTGGATAGGAGGGCAGGAGGATGACACTATCTGGCGTTGTGATGGCGTCGATGGCAGAGAGGCCTGGCATGATTGATGCGTCAGTTTCTGCTCTGAAGATAGATCGATGGAAGACGGTGGTGACGAGCCTTGCAATGTGCGCATGTGGTGCCCACTGTGAGTGTGCTAGACCGGTGTGTGACCCAGTCCGGGTATGTTGCTAGGCTGGGGCATCCGGCTTTAGATGTTAGACTTTGGTGCTATGTCTGTTTGGTATTAGGCTCGGACATTTGGCACCCCTTCATCAAGGGGATAGGAGTAGCAACAGATGTTGCCTAGACGATGGCTTCAGACGTACTGATATATTACTTTGTAAGGTCTTTATGAATAATTAATAAAATAGCTGCATGCATCTTCCAGACGTAGAGGCCAAGGCCAGGGTACATTCTCCTTTTCAAATAAAAAGCAGTCTGCATTGAAATCTCTATTTTTTTAATATATATTTAGCAATGGAGGAGGTACTGTGTTAAAAAAAATTAACTGCTTGTGCAAGCACTGGTTTTCTAAGGGGTGGTATGCAAGTCTTTATGGTTGAACTTGAGAATAAAGCTCTTCAGAATATCAAGCGCATAAAAATCTATGCTATCTTCCACCACTATGATAATTTCCACAAGTCGATTTCTTGTGAGATTTACATGCATCGCCTTGAGCACAACAGGCATGAGAAACTGTTTGAGCCCATTGACATTTTGCTCTCTATGGTAGCGAACCCTCCTTGCGCCTTCCATGGGTTCCATGGGTAGTGACGTTAGTGTGTGAACGTAGCCTCACAATATGAGCTGGTTTTAGAGAGCGTTCTTATTTGACGATCTACAATGTCGACACCATGGTTCAGTTTGCTATATGTATGTCGTCACTATGTTGGTATTCTGCCATATGATCGGTGTCAGCTGGACGCGATCCGGAGGGCGCGTCAACGTCGCTATAAAGCTCGGCCGCGCGCGGCGCCTTCCTCTCATTGCTCTCGCAGAGTGTAGTGGGTTGTCTTCTTCTCTCCATCCGGTACGCTTGGTTCGTGTGAGGTTCCCGCGGGAATGGCAGATGCGGACGGTGCCGAGTACCGCTGCTTCGTCGGCAGCCTGTCCTGGAACACCGACGACCGCGGCCTCGAGGCTGCTTTCAGCTCCTTCGGCGAGATCCTCGACGCCAAGGTCCGCCGCACGCCCATCCTTCTCGCGCTTGTCGATATTGTTTGCTGCTTTGCTTTCCGACTCGACCATGCATGGCGCGTGCAGATCATCAACGATCGCGAGACGGGGAGGTCCCGCGGCTTCGGGTTCGTCAGCTTCTCCAGCGAGCAGGCGATGCAGGACGCCATCGAGGGGATGAACGGTAAGGAGCTCGATGGTCGCAGCATCGTCGTCAACGAGGCCCAGTCCCGCGGGTACGGCGGCGGGGGTGGCGGCAGGTACGGTGGCGGCGGTGGCGGAGGCGGTGGCAGGTACGGCGGTGGTGGCGGGTATGGCCAGCGCCGCGACGATGGCTACGGGGATGACGGCTACGGCGGTGGCCGCGGTTACGGAGGCGGACGCTACGGCGGTGGCAGGGGGTACGGCGGGCGGCGTGACGGCGGCTACGGCCGCGGAGGCAACTCCGACGGATACTGAAGGAGCTGAGGGGACGGCCCCACGCGGCCAGTCATCTTGCGAGTTCGCGGTCGTGATCCCGAGTTATCTTGTCTCTTGTGTTGTGTGGTTTTCCATTTGTGTTTTTTGAGAGTAAATAGCATAAAACTACTACAATTCGGGTTAGGGTTTTAAAAAACTACTGGATTTTATTTTTTTCACTGATAACTACCAAGTTCGGGATCGGTTGTTTTAAAAAACCCAAAATATTGAGTGTTTCACAATTGATCACGATTATGACAGGTTGGGCCCGCACCTAAATCAACCATCTGTTTGACCGTTTGTTTGACTGTTAACTGACATATGGGGCCCACATGTCATTTTCCTCTTCCTCTTCTCTTTCTTCTTCCTCTCTGTCTCTTCTCTTCTCTCCCCGGTGTCTCTCGAGCCGGCGATCCTCCCCTCTCCTCCCGAGCCGGCGACCACACTCCCTCCCCTCCCCAGCCTCCCCATGATCGTGGGAGGTGCTCGCCAAAGCTTGGTGGTGGAGTTGGCGACGAGGAGGCATACCTGCCCCGCTGCTGGAGTGCGCACCTCTGCCACCGCAGGCGAGGCAGGGCGTGGCGGTGGCCGCAGGCGAGGAACAGAGTGGATCCGGCCGCTGCAGGCGTGACTCGAGGCAAGGCAGGGCAGCGGCCGCGGGGAGGCAAGCACGGCGGCCACAGGGAGGCAGGGTGAGGCGGCGGTCGCATGCAAGGCAAGGCGTGGCGGCGGCCGCAAGAGAGGAACGGCGCTGCGGGCCCGGCTCGCCGGCGCAGGAGATGCACGGCGTCAATCCGGCCACTGCAGGCACGGCTTGCCGGCCGGGGGAGGCGGCGTTCGGGCAGAGCGCTCGGGATCGAGGTCCTGGCGACGCGGCTCCTCTGGATCGGGAGGAGGGACCTGATTGCTTTTTTTGCAAAAACATGTAGGGACCTGATTGAAAACTCATAGGGACCTGATTGCTTTTTTTAGAAAACTTACAGGGACCTGATTACTTTTAGAAAATTTACAGATGGGACCTACATGTAAGTTAATGGTCAAAGTAAACGGTCAAACAAATGGTTATCTTACGTGTGGGCCCCAATTGTCATAATCATAATCAACTGATAAGGACTCGGCGTTTTGGGTTTTTTGAAACAACCGACCTCGGACTTGGTAGTTATTAGCGAAAAAATAAAATTCGGTAGTTTTTTGGAACCCTAACCCGAATTGTAGTAGTTTTATAGTAGTTTTTTGATCGCAAGCTCGTCGGTAGTTGGCTGTTATGGAAAATTTAGTTAGCTGTCCCGGTGAAGAAAATCGATCAAGCAGTGGAGTCAGTATCGTGCTATCTTGTTACAATTTTAACGCAATCCCAATGGGGGGATGTGATGCAAATGTTAAACTCTGTTACCAAAAAATAAGGAAAAAAACAATCTATCTCGGCTTTTCCAAATTTTACGGAATTGGGGCAAACGTTTCGTGGACCATTGGATTTTGCACGAGTCTTGGGTCAGCACAAATTAGCCACGTCAACGCACGATTTTTTCTGTGAAATATAGGCGGGCCGTCGTAAACGCCTCAACTCTGTCTCCCATCACCCATTATCCATATTTTTTAAATGGAAATCCTACATTTATGAAGAGCTACGTACCATTTTACGTAAACTATCTGACAACTAAACCTCTTCCTCCTTGATTTTCAAGAGGTAGGCCCGTCCTTCCTCTTACCTCCAATCATATTCATCCACCTGATTTGTTATGTTAATTACGTAGAACTTTTTACGTAGCTCTAGCATTGCTCTTTTTAAAATGAAAATCAAAAGGGTTCCCCCTCTCCCCATCACAACTTTTACTAAAGCCAAGGCAATATCAATCAAAATGTTTCACAACTCTCTGCCGAAACCAGAAAGTAGCTGCAATGGATTATTACAAGTTACCGAGTTTTAAAGCCAGATAGATAGGCATTCAACATGAATACCATTTGGCACAGCAAAAAGAGCCTATCGAACTCCCTACACATTACTGGACCAAACAATCCCAAGAAGGTCCCCTCGGCAACGATCAAGTAACCTTATGCATTGGAGGCGTAGCGCAACTTGACTGTCGGAGCACAAAACCTCCCATTAGCTTATTAGCGAACCTGCCAGTCCGAGATGCAACGCAAGCTTCGCCATTTTCGACCCTCAAAGACAAATTCATTTCGGAAAAGCCATAAACCTCACAAGGTAGCAGATGTGACAAAATTAACTACATCACCGATTTTATTTGCTTTCTAAATGGAATGCAAAGAGGAAAAAGAACAAGGAACAAGTATGTTGATGATATCAGGGACTATAGACCAGATATGTCCTATAACAATGCAGTCGAAAAATAGATGTTGTATAGTTTCGGGTTCATTATAGAAGACGCGTAATATCAGCTACATGTCAACGCTTAGCAAAGATTGTCCCTGGTTAAACTCTTACTATGCACCACAAGTCAAAGAAAAATGTGAATGTTAGGTGGAACTTTTAATTTTCCAAATACAATCTTTCAGGTCAGAGGTCGCACCTCCAAAATTAATCATTTTATAGAGAGACTTAAGAGAGTAGATACCAGAAGGATCAAGCATCCAAACTGGTAAGTCATCACCAACAGACAAATTGAAATTCTTCACCCGATCAAACCATGGAGAGAAAGTACGTTTATCTACACATCTATTGGGCAAAAATGTAGGTATTCTGTTTTTTTATTTGACCACGACAATTTTTTTTGCATTCACCATGGCTTTTGTATGTAGATACCATGGCAAATTGTCTCTACAATGACATTATCAATTATTAATCATGTGGCAAATTTATCTTCTATATTTTGGAATACATAAATTAGCCATGTTTTTTAGAGAACCAAATGCCTAAATTACAATGCCCCACGGGAACATCAAAAATTTGCCATGTTTTTTTTTCGAAAGAAACTAAAACCTAAAATTTCCCATGATGTGTACTTTCTTTATGAAAAGCATATTCATCAAAAAAAATTATGCCCATGGCAATTTTCTTACACAAAGCATGACAATTTTAATTAAAATAACCATGGCAAATTTTAATATGCATTTTCCATGACATTTTTGGCTCATAATTTGTGTTATTTTACACACATGGCAATTTTATCATAAAAACATCGCAATATTAATTACAATACCATGGCAATTTTTAAGTATGCATCTGTCAGGGCAATTTTGTTCATAATTAAGTTATTTGATGATATAGGTCATTATTTCAGATGCAGAAGGGACCGCGGCAGGGGGGATCCAATGTCTCCTATCTTGTTCAATGTTGTTGCTGATATGCTGGTGATCCTCATTGGTATAGCCAAGAAGGGCGGTCAGGTAGGTGGGCTCATTCCACATCTTGTGGATGAAGTGTGTCAATACTACAATATGTTGACGATACAATTATTTTCATGAAACATGGTATGGCAAAAGCTAAAAATATGAAGTTGGTTTTATGTCTCTTCGAACAACTGTCTAGGTTGAAATAAATTTCCATAAAAGCGAATTGTTCTGTTTTGAGCGCGCCAAGGAGGAACCGGTAAACTATAGACAATTGTTCAGATGTGGACTTGGAGCCCTACCTTTTAGTTATCTAGGGATCCCAATCCATGACCAAAAGTTGATCAATAAAGAATGAAAGTGCATTGAAAATTGATTTGAGAAAACCTAAGTCGTTGGAAGGGCAAACTTATGTCTTACGGGGGTCGTTAATTCTTATTAATTACATGTTTACAAGCATGTCGATATTTCTGCTATCCATCTTTGAGGTACGTGTAGGGGTATGAAAAAGGTTTGACTTTTATCGAGCGTGATTTTTTTGCAAAGTGACAGGAATAAATCTAAATACCTACTGACTAAGTCGGACATGCTTTGTAGATTGAAACACCGAGGGGGCTTGGGTATTGAAAACCTCAAAGTAAAGAACAAGTGTCTACTTAGCAAATGGTTATATCTGCTGTCTGTAGAAGAGGATAGGGGTGTGAATGAAGGAAATATGCCCTAGAGGCAATAATAAAGTTGTTATTTTATATTTCCTTATTCATGATTAAGGTTTATTATTCATGCTAGAATTGTATTGATCAGAAACCTAAATACATGTGTGAATACATAAACAAATACTGTGTCCTTAGTAAGCCTCTACTAGACTAGCTTGTTGATCAAAGATGGTTAAGGTTTCCTAACCATAGACATGTGCTGTCATTTGATAACGGGATCACATCATTAGGAGAATGATGTGATGGACACGACCCATCAGTTAGCTTAGCATATTGATCGTTCAGTTTATTGCTATTGCTTTCTTCATGTCAAATACATATTCCTTCGACTATGAGATTATGCAACTTCCAGATACTGGACTGGGTGATCATAAAGATGCTCTACAGGTATCTCCGAAGGTGTTTGGTGAGTTGGTATAGATCGAGATTAGGATTTGTCACTCCGAGTATCAGAGAGGTATCTTTGGGCCCTCTCGGTAATACACATCATAAGCTTGCAAGCAAATGACTAAGGAGTTAGTCACGAGGTGATGTATTACGGAACGAGTAAAGAGACTTGCCGGTAACGAGATTGAACTAGGTATGAAGATACCGACGATCGAATCTCGGGCTAGTAACATACCGATGGACAAAGGGAATTACGTATATTGTCATAACGATTCAACTGATAAAGATCTCCGTGGAATATGTAAGAATAAATATGGGCATCTAGGTCCCACCATTGGTTATTTACCGGAGAGGTGTCTCGGTCATGACTACATAATTCCCGAACCCGCAGGGTCACACGCTTAACGTTCTTTGATGCTAGACTAGTATTGGGATATTTAATGAGTGGTAATCAAATGTTGTTCGGAGTCTCGGATGAGATCACGGACGTCACAAGGAGTCTCGGAATGGTCGAGAGGTAAAGATTTATATATGGGAAGTCATATTTTGGGTTCCGAAAAAAGTGTAGTTTTTTCGTATTGTGCTGGGAAGCTTCTAGAAGGTTTC